ATCTCGAATGGATCTTCTTTTCCCTGATTCAAAATAGATTCACGTATCAACTACGACATGTAAAGAAGGATGATAAAACAGACATTTAGACTTAAAACGGACCAAGCGAAGGAACTCGTCCCACGAGTATGGTTTTATCCCGTTGCCTACTGCTGCGGCCTTTTCTTCCCCCTTCAGTGATGTAAAGCAGATGATTACTGCAAAAGGAATTGAACTCGGTAAATTGGTTCAACGGTTGCTCGAAAACCGTCTTGTCTCGTCGTTCTTACCTTTCAGCCTCTTAGGATTCGTGCTTTCAGAACTTAATAGCTGCAAAACAAGCAGAGAATTTCTAAGCGTGTCCCTTTTTTTGTTGTATACTTTACTAACAGGAAAGCAGTTCTTACCTCTTTTGCTTTCTTATCTTGGATGAAAATGATATCAATCTCTGCGTGTTCTATAATATAATTAACAGCTCCATGTCCTGCAATTCATTTAGTTTAAGAATCATTATAACTTACAAAGAGCTTTGAATGCTTGAAGACGCTTTCTTGGCTCTAAGTTCAAACTCTTAAGTAACGATCCAAGCTCACTACTAGTAGATATTGTCCTCTTCGGGTTTCCTCTCAAAGTTTCTAAAACGCGTCTGCTAGGGAGAGGTCTCCACACCCTTATAAAGAATGTTTCGTTCTCTTCCCCAACTGACGTGGGATCTCACACTTATTGTCTCTCGTAGTGCTGGCTTTAAGATGGGTGAACCCTATGGAAAGTAGTACGGGTGAGCCATGAAGAAGGGGAGCATGGGACACGATGGTGAATGGATTCAGGGAGGAGGAGATGAAGATGAAGAAGGAGAAGAAGGCGTTATTCACAATCTACCAAGGAGTAGATGATGCCACGTTTGAGTGGATTGCCCCTGCAAAGTCTTCTCAGGAAGCTTGGGAGGTACTGAAGAAAGCCTTTGAGGGCATGGATAGAGTGAAGAAGATCCGCTTATAGTCTTTACGAGCAAATTTGAGGTCAACACCAACGTCCCAGTTGGGGACGTGCTATGTTTGGGGTGCATCGGGAGAGAGAAATAATGGACTTTTTGGAGGACTTGAGAGATCCTGAGTAATGTTTGTTCTCTTGTTAGATCCTATGTTTGTATTCGGGCTTCATTCTAGTGAATATAGTAAGAGACCAAAATGAAAAAGAAGCTTTCCAGAACGTCCCAATGGTGCTCGTTTGAGAAACAGAAAAACCGTTGATGGTACCCTTATCGAAAATGGCCCGAAAAGGAGTACTTTACCAAGTGTATCATAGAGTGGCACAGCAACCAAACTGTGGGCATTGCAAGCCTACACAAAACATTTAGAGTATCAGTTATCTGATATCACCAACACTGAAACAACGACAAAAAGCTATTACAGCTTATAAAACATTCAGACAAGATTTTAAGAATGTTTCAGCTAAACCTCCATAGCAATTATCCATTGCGGACAATTCGCGCCATAAATCCCGATTCGAGAGCCCTGTCACACGTATTTAGTTTCTCAGTTCTTACAATATGGTCCATATCCATGAAATCGTCGAAGTATGCTTACCGCTTTGGCACCAACCGCTCGTAGTGCAGAACCAATGTTAAGAACATCAACATAAACTTCTTGGTAAGTTTTCCATATATAAGGTCCAGGCTGAATACCAAAAATAAGAAACAAAGAACCCGAAAAGAATCGTCATAATATCGATCAATCACCGAAACCATTTAAGTTCATCAACAGTTCTATCATCTTTTCTTCAAAGATTATGAGAATTCACCTTCCCTTCCACAAATTTCCGCCATCCGAGCATTCGCTTTCCAGCATACTTTTTGGCTGAAACACTGCAAAGATAATAAAACATGAACGGAATACAACCATCCGTGCACAGTTCAACTAGTTAAGACATATGCACCTGAAAATATCCCAAGTTGTGCTCAAATCTTCATATAGAGGAGGAAAGCCATCCTTTGTAAGAACATTGCGATAAACCGGACCGACCGACGGTTTACCGTCTTTTCCTTCCGTTCCTTCCTCGACCTTGATCGAAAAACTCTTCATTCTTCAGTTCTGTAAAACCTGTTGCATTGATCTTTAATGAGACTCAAACAAAATGCATCACTATTTACCCCCAACTTTCATGGAAATTTTCTTTGTTCTCAGCAAAATTAATTACAAGGGTCAGGTTCTACATATAAGTTGTACAATGCTATCAAAAGACAGCAGGCAGCCATTAATGAGATGCCAACCACCATGCCCAAATGCTTCCAATTGGGGGCTCAGAGAAACAAGAAGGCCCAAAACTTTATGAAGTTTTGAAAGAAAAAACAGAGTGAGGAAGAAAATAGAGCTGTTTTTTCAAGAACGTTGCCGATATTTAGCAATGGTGAGAAGAAAACAGGCATGGAAATGGAGCAAACAGGTTGAACATCAAAAACCCACTTCCAAATTCATCAAAATAAACAGAAAAGGAGAGAAAATGAAGAAAACAGAGCTTGTTTTTCAAGAAAGTTGCTGATATTTAGCAATGGTTAGAGGGAAACAGGCATGGAAATGGAGCAAACACGTTGAACATCAAAAACCCACTTCCAAATTCATAAAAAAAAAGGCAGAAAAACAGAGAAAAGAAAGAGGACTTACAATGGAAATGAGCAGAGAGCAGCAGAGAAGGAAGCAAATCATGCAATACAAGAGAAGTGGTGGAGTGAGCTGAATATAAGGGGAAGGGGAAGAGAAAGGGCAGAGATGTTAATGAGTTTGTTGAAATCAGCTGCATTATCAAAAATACCAAATTTCCCAACACATTTATCAAAACATCTTATTGTTTAAACATCACTATTATATGTTCCGACAATGAAGGTCATGCTCCATAAAATTGCTGAGTAAAATATGCTTCATCATCATCAAGTTTTTGTGATAGAGTCGTTGAAAAAGAAAGTGCACATTATTGGTATAGATAGTAACTTTCAATTTTATAAGTCTTTTTAGCTATTAAATTCTCTCATTTACCGGTAGACTCGATTATTCATATAGATATCGAATAATTTAAGTTGGGAGATCGAAAAAAATAAGATGGGGAGAAATTTCATTTATGCCTCACCTACTTTAATCTTGAAAGCATTAAATGTTGGTGCTTCTCACCCTTCCCAATATTAAATTATGAGTGTTTTTTTTTTTTTCTTCAATAAAAATAGAGATTAAATTTCCATTTAATGTTTGATATCAAGAAATCAAATGTTAGAATAATATAATTTTACTTTATTTAAATATATAAAAAAAATTATTAATTTGTTTTTGTTTAAAATATTTGTTTAAATATATATTCTTTTTTATTTTTTATATTTTATGATTGATTGGACGTGCAAGAATTGAAAGAGAAAAATCAAAATAATAATTAATAAACAATGAATTTCAAAGCATTGGTTCAACGGTTAAATATGACCGCTTTTGTAATGGCTTAATGGGGCGGGTCATTTTAGTAATTTAACTTTAGATATTATTAAATTATTTTCTATTTAAACCAATATTTTTAGTTTTTATTATAAAAATTTTAAATTTTTTCTTCCTATAGTAACATTTCTTCCTGCCCTTTAATGATATGAAAATTCAAATTTCTGACCTCTTAATTGAAATTTATAATTAAATTAATTGAATTACGCTCTAGTTTACCTCATAAGTAAGAACAATTTAAGCATGATATAGAAGATAGGTAGACCAGGTGTGTGAACATGCGTGTGAGAAAGTTGGTGATAAACGTGTAGAAGTTTCAACAAAATCGTTTGCAAGCAATTGGATAAAATGATAGAAAGTTGACTTAAGTGTTTTAACTTTATATTATTTTCTTTTATCATCAATATTGCCCACTAGACCTAATCTATGATCGATCTTCCTCTTATATGGTAAGTTATCACATCTTCATTTACAAAATTAGTTAGCAATGAGCGTTATGAAATTAAGTACGTAACTCCCTTCTAATATAAAATTAATACACTAAACCCGATAAAACTAACATAGAAACTCGAGCTAAAAATATAACCATTTTTTTTTTAGTGAAAACAAACTATAATAGGTAGTTCAATCCATAAATAAAAACAATAGTGGTTAGTAAGTGGAAGTTGGAACTACAATTTTGATTTTAATAAATAAAACTAAATAATAATAAATCATGAGAGCTATAGCTGTTGAACCCGATTTTGTTGGGTTTTTTAAAATTAACGATGGAGAAAGAAAAAAAAAAAAAAAAAAAAAGTCAATTTTAATTAAAGGATGACAATTGTCAAAACTCACTGTCAAACTGCATGCTACGTGTTTTTTTTTATAATAAATTATTTATCAAATTAAAAATTAAGTTGTTTTCTTTATTTATTAGCATATGTAGTTATCTCATTCATAAATCCATTTAAAAAAGAAAAGAAAAAAAGTGGGGCAATTTTGCAAAAAAGACCAAAATATATGGTGACGTGGTCACATATTATCACAACGCATGGCATATTAACCAATCAGAAGCTAGCATGTGGCAAAACGACTATTTTTTTCTTTCTTGAAAATTTTGAAAATTTTTATTTCTTAGAGTTCAAACAATTACTAAGAAATATTTGAATATTTGACATTTGAAACGATAAGGAACCAAACAAAAAAGAAAGAGAAAGTGAAGTTTCACATTATAGTTTTGTCCTTACCATTCAAAAGTATGTGTTGTCACCTATGAAACAAAGGAAAATAAAATAAATATATTGCCACGTAAGCAATAAAAACTATAATTATTTATTTCCAAGAAAACTCTATTACCAGGTAAGCAATAAAAAGTAGAAAGATTTATTTCCATGGTCCCAATCTGTACTTAATATTACCTTTCTCAAACATAACTCAATTAGTTAAAATATATATTTATAATTAAAACGTCAAGTTGTTCAAATGTATACCTTCACATATGGTTACCTCAGTTTGAGCATTGATTTCAAGCCTCAGTTCCAATGTCTATTAAGGTCTACCATATAAGAATTCAAATCGCAAGATCAGAAAACTCGTAAAAATTAATCAATTTGTCATCAAAGGATACATTCAAGAATCAAAAGTATATTCAACCCGATGAGGATCACATAACCTGAAAGTACTAATAGAAAGGAGATTTTTTTGTATGATAGACATCCAACGCTCCCCACAGTAGGAATCAGCAGCAGAAAGCTCACAGCTAATGCAAATGGGCAATAAATGAATCAAAATGAAAGTTACCCAAAGTAATTGGCAGGTGGAATTTAACTCACACCCACTTGCTTGCTTCTGAATCAAACCAATATAAAAGGAATAAAAAGGACGCAGAACAGAAAGGCAATGAAGAGAGTAGCTATTTTTGTATGAAAATGGCCTGTAACTGCACATGAGCTAATAATATTAATTGCCCCAAGCCATTTGAGTGAAGTACTATTACCCAACTTGGCTTCAAGAAGATAAGATTTGGGAGTTCGTTTCAGAAAATGGTGCATATGAATGAACGCCAATGGTTGGGCATTTATTTAGGCCTCTCACAAAACCCTAGAATCTTAATGGTGGGCAAGTCAAATTGGTTGTTTATAATACACGTTCTTCGGTTCGCAGAGTCTTTGCATTATGGATTTTGAATGGAAAGTATCCTAGAAATGAAGTTATACCGCAAAGATGTGTGTTAAATAAAGTCCTTAAACTTGAATAAGTTTATTATTTTTTTGAGTAGATTAGTTAATTTCCCCTCTTACTCATTCAAATTTGAATTCATATTCAAATGAATGATTCTTTCCTATAAAAAACAGAAAAAGAAAAAAAAAATGATGTCATCAAAATTAATTATTTACCTTCACAGCTCCAATCTTCCAGTCTATTAGGCAGAAAAACATTTGACTAAGCAGACCCATCTTTTTTTACAGCAGCAGAATCCACCACAGACATCATGAGCCACCTTGATAAATTAATCAAGAATGGAGTGTATACAAAATAGCAAGTGATTGTCCAGCTGATTAGCCCCTGTATTAAACAAAAGCAAGCTTTAAAACTTTCCAGAAAATAAAACTCTTCAATTTCCCATCACTTGCTGATATGTGCTTTCATCACTTACCTCACCAAAGATCTCGACATTCGCTTGGGGATAATACCAGAGATGGAAGAACCTGCATAAGCATTAGATCAAGGAGAAGAGTAGCATTTGGTTAGCGAAAACAGGGTCGAAGTCAAAATAATTTGTTTACGAATAGAATGTCACTTGATCATCTAAGTGATTTTCTGTAAACCATCGTTTACTTCTATGATGAAATCAGTTGGGGCTCAAAGGAACGGCAGTTCATCAGATTAGTCATAAAATATTGGATTTTCTTTTATAAAAGTGAGGCATCTTTTGAATCAACTTTAAAGTTGCCAAGAACACAACATCATGTCAAGTTTTTCCTTCTAGTTTAAGAAGAAATGTACTAACTGTATCTAACTAACGATGAAATCTTCTTTTTCTTTTTTCTTTTTTTTTTTTTTTTTTTTTTTTTTTTTTTTTTTTT